GTTCAGGACGCCTTCGTGCCCGGATTGCGCCGGGGATACTGCATCATCCCCTTGCACAAAAAAGGAGGAGAGACCGACGACCAACAGCGTACCCGCGTGCAAGCATGCATACGACAGGTCAGGAACGCCAACGTGACAGTGGGCACCCGACCTGACGGAGCACCAGCCAAGCTCTTCCTCAACATCTCGCAGCCACCAGAAAAGCGCAGGAAGGTCCAGGTGGCGGCAAAGTGCAAACGACTACTCATGGAGCTTGGAGCTGCCACACAGGACGTGGACACGGAGTACTCAACAGGACAAGTGTGGTACAGAAGCGTTAGAGTGGCCTCGGCAATCAACGCCGGGGCACCTGCTGGCTCCAGCACGACGGGGTCACAAGGATGGATCGATCTCAAGACGATCGCCGACAGGATCAAAACGGACGTGAACACGGTCAAGACGCACTGGCAGCAGCTGGCCAGCGCCCTCAAGTGACACGAAGCAGAGGCCCAGGGGATGGGCAACACGTTTCACCCCAGTTCGTGCCCAAAAACATTGGGGCACCAACTCCTTGGCACCTGGAATTTGGGAGGGATGACACCACTTAAAGTGTTGGAATTCCTCAAAGCTTTTGAGGGGCACAAACCTTTGGTGCCCGGCACGCCGTCGCTATCCAAACTGATTGTGGTCGTCCTCCAGGAAATAATCGTGGAGGTGGGCATCTTCTTTGAGGACGATGGCCACTGGACCCTGGTATGCGGCAAAAAGGCAGGAGAGTGGAGAGGCACAGCCATAGCCTTTCGCAGTTCGCTAACACACCACAGCGCAACCATTCACCCCAAAGGCAGCTCAGTGGTACTCAGCAAAGACAACACAACCTTCGGAGTTATCTGCATCCACGTGCCACACCACGCTACTGTTGATGAGACCTCGACCATCTTGGCGGACTTCGATTCCTGCCCGGCAATGCGACAGCACAGGACCATCGTGGGCATGGACGCGAATGAAATCTTTTCACACTCGGAGAGTGCGTCTGCCTTCCCGAAAGGCCACACCGGCAGAGGGGAAACCATCCTGACCTGGCTGGCAAACGGAGACTTCAGGTTCCCGGAGCAGCAACTGCACCTGCCGTCGCACTTCCCCTACTCCGGACAAAACCCCCGGCGCCTGGACTACTTGGTTTGCAGGGGCATCCACCTGGGAGGAGGACACGTCGGAGACCACCGAGACAGAGCGCACTCAGACCATGAGCCCATCATTGGGCACCTTCCTGTCCGAGTTGAGCAGAAACAATTCCACAAAGTGTGGGGACCCAGACACCTCCGGCACGACTTTCAGGACACACTCAGTCTGGGGCATTTCCTACATGGAGATGCACACCACCAACTGGCGGCCGTCTGCAAAGCCATGACGAACCCGGGAAGAGCCATGGACAAGTTCGACGAGACCAAAAAACTCAAACAACTCCGACGTGAAGCACAGCGCACGCCTCCGGGGCCTGCCCGAAGGACGGCATGGAAAGAAGTCCAGGCCATGCACAGGCAGGAGAAAAAGCAGTGGCACACCAAACTCAACGAGGCCGCCAGCAAGCAAGACTGGCGCTCTTACCGGGCACAAAAGCACCTTCTACGCACCCGAGAGTGGGAACACTACCTGCTGGACGACGCCAACTGGCAAGGTACCCTCAAGCACCACTTTGAGGGCATCTTCTACAAGGAGGACCCCTCTCAGGTAACCCTTCAGATCACGGAAATGAGGCGTGAGTTGGCGCGCCTCTGCAAAGTAACCCCGTGGCACCCCTTCACGCTAGAGGAGCTCCAGGTGACAGAAGGGCGCTGGCCGCGCCGGAAAGCGGCGGGACCCGACGGGATCATCCACGAGGCACTCAGTCAGCTACTGCGAGACGACACTTGGATGCACAGGATCGTCTACCTCATCAATGACATCTTTTACAAGGGCACCCTCCCAGAGCTGCTGGAGAAAGGCGTCACCGTCCTTCTACCAAAAACTGCGACCCCGGATGGTTGGCCCGATACCCGCCCCATTACCATTTCGTCGGCAATCCTCAAATGGATCGCGCAACTGGTCCTACGGCGCACACAACACCTCTTCACACCTGTGTGCACACTACAGTGGTGCGCGAAAGGCCGCCAGTCAGTCGAAATGCTGCTGGCGATACGCAAAATTGCGCGGATGGCGAGGGACTGGGGGGGACCCTTCTTCATCGTCAAGATTGACGTGAGGAAGGCGTTT